GCGAGGAGCGGAGGGGCGCCGGCGACGGGCCCCGCGTCCCGGTTCGGTAGCGCCCGGTACCGAGCGGCGCCGCCCGCCCGGTATCCCCGGGCTCCTTGGCCGCCATCTTTGGTACGGGCGGAGAGCGCGCGCCTCCCACACACCTCCTGCTGCCGCTGTCCCCTCTGCCAGACCCGGCGGCGAGTGTGGGACACGGTGACAATTGACTAAAAAAAACCCAAAATAAAAAGTTTAGTGGAGGTAGCGCAGAGGTGCGGTGCTCCAGCCGCACCGCCCACAGTAAAGATGGCYAGCGGAGMCCCTGGCAGCGCTGCCCCTCGGGTGTCACGGGGCCGTGGGAACCGAGGGGATCCCCCGCCCCGGCTCTGCCTGCCGCCGCCTGTCCCGACACACGATCGGAACGGAAGCGTTTTCATTCGTTTTATTTCAATGTGCGTTAGAGTCGCACACGAAGCCGTCCCGGGTGACCCCCGCAGGCGGCGGGGCCGGGCTGGCGAGCCCCCGGCGCACAGCTCAGTGCGGGCTGCTGCAGCTCTGGCAGCCACCTGCGGAACGCGGTGCTCCGGTGCCCAGCCGGCCAGAGGGCACGACAGGACACACGGCGAGAAAAGGGCAGCCCGTCATTGCCTACCCCCTTTTCTTAATCGCCTGACSCTCGGAAGAACTGCCGTATCAGAAMGGGAAARCCTCGCTAAGGCCAGGTTTCTATCGCCACTCTTCATTCGGCTGTCAAAGTTACTGCCACACTGTGAAGATTTGGCACTTACTTTGTTAACTTACTAGCACCAGAAGCACTGATTCATGAAACTGAAGTCAATAGGTTGTTTTTGCCAAAAGTGAATCCCACGTTAAGTACTGCTGTGTCACCTCTAAATATTTAAACCTCACAACTTCATAATCCTGTGGTTATTAGTCCGAAGTTTCCCTCCCTTTCCATCTGCAAAATGGGAATGTTGTACTCAGAAAAACTAAAGCCAAACTTTCCAACTATTTCCTATTTTTGAGTTTCTCAGAGGAGATGATGCCAAAATATGACATGTTCATGAAGGTCAAGGACTTACAGTGTCACATGAAAACAACAGGAAAATTTAAGTTCAATTCTAATGTAGGACAAATCTCCTAGGTTCTCYAAATCAGACACTCAAAAAATAATCACTACTTATTGAACCCGCCACAAAACTCTCATTAATAAAGTGTGTCAGGGGTCCTGAAAACTCAGAATGGGAAACACATCCATCCTCTTACTATTACTGCAACACAAGGTATAAGAGGTCTTCAAATCCTTAAGAAGGATTTTGAACTTATTTAAATGCAAATWCATAGATACACAACAGCTGTATCCTCTGATTCATGTTGAGCAATTTATTATGTGTTTAACAGTTTCAGTGCTTAATAGCCAAACCTCTGCTTTGTAACCTAGAAGGTRGGGAAGGGGATCCCATCACCAGAAAATATAATAATAGCTACATAACYGTTGTTATTGTATATAACTATAGAATGCAGCTTGATCTTGCTGGTTCTATCACTGTATTCAAAATAATAAAAGCATTTTTTTTTAAAATCGAGTTGTAGATTCCCTCATAAATAATTGCGTGATTTTTAACAAGCACATGAAGACAGGTAAAGAAAAATAGATATAATACTTTAATATGAACTATATTTACAGTAATTTGCAACAGAGAGCTGCATATTATGAATAGTAAGCTACAGAGATAGAGGCCAAATGAGGTACAATCAAATATTTCTAACCTTTTGCCACTTAAGCATATTTTTTCTAAAAAAAATTAACAGCTTTTCATTAAATAGCATGCATGACACCTCTACACCTGTCAATAGCACTTTATAAGCTTCCAGCTATTCCCTCTTTCCAATCATCTTGCTTGTTCTCACAGGTTCTACTGCTACTGACATCTTTGAGACATTACCTACCCTTATTACCACTTATCACTGGGCTTTTAGCCATTTGCCACGGAACTTCTACACATCCTGACATSTAAGTGGAGAAACAGCAACCAGGGTATTCCTGGAGAAATGGTCAGTTACGATTTATGGCCATTCATTGATTGTAATGTTTCTGCCACAAGTTCAACTTGCAGTCCCACCATGGATGTGCTAGGCAGACAGTCTGAGTTAGCCTTCCTTGACCCCTGACCTTCCAAACTCCCTCTGCTTGCATGGGGCAGCTGACCTTGCCTTCATATGTGATCCCTGAGAGAAATATGGAATTCACAGCTTTTGCATCTAAAAATACATAACGCCTGACAGGGTCTAGCCACAATTTCTCAACTGCTTTTGTTACTGTACAACAGAGAAATCTACATGACCGTGTAAATTTCTCTATGTATGATAAACAACATCCTCAGGTGATTTCATTAAAATATTTTCCTTGCAAAGCAMAGTATGAATGCAAAATGAACTCCACCCTTACCTGATAAAACAACAGGCAAGCATGTGAGAACATTTAAAATTGYACTTCATTAAAGTAATCCATGAAATTCTACACTTTATATATCTGTAACTTGTGTAACCAAGATATAGGCAATCTAGGCCTTAGCGTTGGACTAATATTATTTTACACAACAAATACTTGGTATAAATGTTCCAGTTTACAATACAGAAACAAAAAGTTCTCTATTAACCCCTATATTACAGCCAATTTCTTCAAAGTATTAAACTAAGATTGATCGTAGATAAGCTGCCCATCTATGTTTGCAAGACAGAAGGATGATATTTTACATAGTAGCCCCAGCAGACATTATAAAAGAGACCAGTAAACAGCAAGTCCACAAATTCTCTTTCAATAATAGCATTTTGCAGAGCTTGCAGATATCTTCTATTGTAATCGTTGTTTTGGAAACTTTTAGAGAGAGAATTTAGTATTTTGCAACATAAAATAAGATGCAGTGTAACTTGTATGCATTCTACTTGCAAAGTATTAAAATCTTTTATTATTTTAAAAATTCCGTAACATCCAATATCTTTTCATGCTGCTTCACAGACTGCTCAGCTGTAAAAA